CAGCTGGGGAGGTTGTGCACTGCTCGGAAGCTATAGAGTGAGCAAGTGTGGGCTGCCATCCTGCTCCCATCAGGCTCAGCAAGTCCTGTGCCCGCACAGGGGGCTGTGTCTGCCTGGCAGGGCCCTCCTCCCCCCGTTTCTCAGGAATACGGACAAAGGTGGGGGAGGGTGAATGTATGGTGAGCAGGGAGACGGCCCACATGTCCATCAACTGGTGAACGGATAGATAAAATGCGGTCTGTCCAGACAATGGCACCTTAGTCATACAAAGAAATGAAGTGCCGATCTGTGCTACAACACAGGTAACCCTTGAAAACAGTATACCGAACGAGAAAAGACACAATCGCCACGTACTTTCTGGTTCCATTTCCCTCTGAAATGCCCAGAATCAGCAAATCCACAGACAGAAAGGAAATGAGTGGTTGCCAGGGCCTGGGGGAGGAGCGCAAGTATGGGGACAGTGAGATGGTCTGGAGTTAGTGACGATGGCGGCACAGCCTTGCAAATGTACTAAAAACCATCGAATGTAAAAGGATGGATTTTACGGTCTGTGAATTTTATCTCGATTTAAAAAAATCAATGGTTGAGCGTTGACCTATGAACCAGGAGGTCACGGCTCAGTTTCCCATCAGGGCACATGCCCGAGTTGCAGGCTCGATCCCCAGTGGAGGGTGTGCAGGAGGCAACCGATGAATGATTCTCTCATCACTGATGTTCTTATCTCTCTCTCCCTCTCCCTTCCTCTCTGTAATCAACAAAAATCTATTTAAAATTAATTAATTAAAAAATCAATAGCATTCTTCTACTAGTACAGTGGTCGGCAAACTCATCAGTCAACAGAGCCAAATATCAACAGTACAACGATTGAAATTTCTCTTGAGAGCCAAATGTTTTAAACTTAAACTATCTAGGTAGGTACATTGTTATTAACTTAATTAGGGTACTCCTAAGGCTTAGGAAGAGCCACACTCAAGGGGCCAAAGAGCCGCATGTGGCTCTCGAGCCGCAGTTTGCCGACCACGGACCTAGTATAACCAACGGGGAAGTTAACAGAAAATCAGATAGTCTTCCCCAAAGCGATCAAAGTTATAAGGAATCTAGGATGTAACCTAGTGAAAAACCTATGAGAACTTCGTGGAGACGGCAAATAAAAACAGACCCAACCCGGCCGGTGTGGCCAAGTGGTCGAGTGTCACTGGTAGATTCCTAGTCAGGGCATATGCTCCGGGTTGCAGAATCAATCCCCAGTAGGGGGCCTGTAGGAGAGATTCTCTCTCATTGATGTTTCTCTCTCGCTCTCCCTCTCTCTATAAAACCAATAAAAACATTAAAAAAAAAAACAAAACAACCAACAGATCCAGACTAAAATCAAGAGAAACTTGCCGAACCGGTTTGGCTCAGTGGATAGAGCGTTGGCCTTTGGACTGAAGGGTCCCAGGTTCGATTCCGGTCAAGGGCATGTGCCTTGGTTGTGGGCACATCCCCAGGAGGAGATGTGCGGGAGGCAGCTGATCGATGTTTCTCTCTCATTGATGTTTCTAATTCTCTATATCTCTCCCTTACTCTCTGGAACAAATCAATAAAATATATTTAAAAAAAAAAAAAAAAAGAGAGAAACTTTATGCAAAAAGGCCATTGCACGGGGAGCAGGCTCCTTCTCCGATATCTGCAAGCATCTCACAATCAAACAGAAACAGGCCTCGCGGCTCTGTGGTAAGAGGGGTTTGCAGTGAGAGCAAGTTGGGGAAGTTAAGTAACTGAGTAGCGTGGTTGTGCAGGAAGCTCTCTCTGGAGAAACTGACCCGGCAGCTTTCAGTTCCGGGCTGGTTAGGAGTTGGGGGAGCCGCCTGGCCCAGGCTGGGGAGGAGAGCAGCCGAGCACAGTGTGTTCAGGGTCAAACAGAGGGTGAGGAACATCGACCGTGAGCACCTTTCCGGAGAAAATGTCAGACTTCCGGTTAAGGAGTTAAAGGACAGCCTGAAGGCAGGCCTGATCTGTGGGTGACAACTTGACATTGTCCTTCCCGTCAGACTCCAAAGCGTCCTGCCCCAGAAGCTGCCCGTTGATCTCTTTGGTGCACTGCTGTGTTCACAGTTGTTGGGAGCATCCTGACACCTGGTGAGCTCTTGATAAAAATATATTCTTTTAGGCCCTGGCTGGGTAGGTCAGTGGGTTAGAGCATCACTTGATGCCAAGGTTGCAGGTTCAGTCTACCGGTCAGGACGCATACAAGAATCAACCAATGAATGCATAAATAAGTGGAACAACACGTCGATGTTTC